AGGTGTGCTTTTTCTCTTTGCTCATCAATCCTTTAAAAATCTTCCGCTACAAAAAAAAAAAAAAGAGAGAGAGAGGGGTCAAGAAGTTAAGGTGGGATCTGGCCCGCTTTAGTAGAAAGGTCCCTACACAGTGGATAAATAAGTTAATGATTAGAAAAACTACAATGAAAGCTGATTTAACTAGGCTAAGGTCACTAGATTTTTTTTTATGTACATAATGAGTATCACTGTGATTTTATCATTTACATTCATTTGCTTAATAACTAACTTGGAAACAATATAACAATGTTGACTTCACCTATGAACTTATCTTTTTTTAGTGAGTTAAAAAAAGGAACCTGCCTTCGGTTTGCTGGAAGTGGAAATGAAGAGAATCGAAATAATGCATATCCTCACAAGGCAGGTTTTGCCCAACCTTCAGGTCTTTCTCTGGCCTCAGAAGATCCCTGGAGCTGCCTGTTCGTAGTAGATAGTGAGAGCAGTACAGTGAGAACCGTGTCACTGAAAGATGGAGCCGTGAAGCACCTTGCAGGAGGAGAAAGAGATCCCATGGTAATGAGATGTATGGTATGCCCACGGACCGAGCTTGCGATTTTCTGAATTGTGAAGAGTTAATCAGATGTAGGAAGGGGAAAGTTCTTGACTTATCCATGTTAAAATGGAAGTCAAACCAAAGGAAATGGAATATAAAAAAACACAAGTAACAAACCATCTAAATAAAGGAAACTGACTCTACTTGATTATATATAAACGTCAAGGCCTCAGGGAGAAAGGAAGGATGAAATATTGATTACAGAGAGAAGGCGAAAGTGTAGATTAGATTTTTGGCAGTAGGCTGGAAGGAGCACCAGATCAGTAGACTTGACCAGTTTGTGATGTGTAATTTCTATGAATGAAATTCCTAAACACCACAAATTAATTCATGTTCAGAATTCTATCATTTTCTTCTAGTTTGAATCAAATGCACAGCCCTACTTTCATGAAATCAGCCCTTTTCCCCTTTAACTTAGATAACAGATACAGCCATCTTAATTTTCACTTTGTACTCTAACAAAGCACTGTAAAAAATTTTTAATACGTGCTGTTTCTTTCTTTTTAAAAAAAATAAAAGAATTTATTTGCTTTTGGTGATGTTGATGGAGTAGGAATCAATGCAAAGCTTCAGCACCCACTTGGAGTAACTTGGGACGAGAAAAGGAATTTACTTTATGTGGCAGACTCTTACAATCACAAGGTGAGTCTTGACAGAATTATATAATACCCTCCTTTTCACTTGTGGTATTTAAAATGCTGAAAGATCTGTGAGCCTCCTACAACTGCCACTTTAAAATAGAGGCATAACAGCCTTTGACAACAGTACATAAGCCTTTCTGTTCTTTTCTTGGTCCTTTCTTTGCAAAGAGGATGTGATAGTACTCTGAGCTAGGGAAGGGACTAAGCAAATTCCCCATGGCTGTAGCCAAAAATTGTGAATTGTAACCCCTTAAAGCTACTTAGTAAACATGTTCAGTAAATAAGGAGAAGGCAGGTCGCAAGGAAATTAATATGTCAAGTAACAAATGAACATTTTCTAGCTGTTTGCCTAGGTGCTGCAGCTGTTAGCAAATCGCTCCGTCTTCATTAGCATTTCCATTTTTTGCTCTCTGTTGCGTTGACTATGTATTTTTCTTTTTTATAAAAATGAGTGGAAAATTGACAACAACATTTGTAAACTGACTATACTGCAATACAAAAAAATCAGTGGAAAATAAATGTTAATATTTTGTGAAGAGACTATGACATTAATATAATTGAAACAATGGGGAATAATTCAGCTTAACATAAGTAGCAAATCCTCAGCCAGTGTTAGAGGCTCATGAGAAGAAAATTCAGCTCTGTCCCATTGTAAGGAAAAAGAATAACATTTAAAAATTTTTTTAATTTTGTAAATACTTCTATCAAGATTGCTTCTAGAAGACAAGATGTAACTGGGGATTTTACAGTGTTTACCTCTCAGAATGAAATCTCTCCCCTTAGACTGTAATTTGAATGTTTGACTTTTTGAGAAAATATGGAAATGACTGTTCTGTCTCTGAGATTTATTAAGAATACTAACGGTAATCAGGAATTCTCTGACTTGCTTAATATACTTCTCCATACTACAAACATGAAATTGAGCTTCTGATATATAAATTTTTGTTCTTTCTTTTTAGATTAAAGTTGTGGATCCAAAAACAAAAAACTGTACAACATTAGCAGGAACTGGAGATGCAAGTAATGTTCTTGGTTCCAGTTTTACTGAGTCAACTTTTAATGAACCAGGAGGCTTGTGTATTGGAGAGAATAGTCAGTTATTATATGTGGCAGACACCAATAACCATCAAATTAAAGTGATGGATTTAGAAACAAAAACGGTTTCTGTGGTAAGTAATCTTAAAGGATAGGTTAAAGGACATCATTTAAGAAAGATTCTGAGATCCTCAGCACTGACGGAGGCACTTGTGGTTGGGCCATCTCTGGTGGGGAGAGCGAAACACGTAGGGAGGGTAGTGAGTGGGTGCCTAGTTCAAGGATATCCTGTTATATTTAGAATTAAAATTCCACTTATGCCAAGAGTGTTTGAAAAAGATACTAGAAGTTGGAGAGAATCTGATGAACTTTCAGGAAAGAGGGGGAAAAACCAGGACTCAGATCTATTTTTAAATGTGTGAACATAATGACATACTATACACACAAACTCTATGGGTTGGGTTGTTTAATCTGGTTTGATTTTTTTTTAATGATCCTTAGATTAACATGTAATTTTTGTTTCCTATGATGAATCCGTTACCAAGTAACCATTAGAAGAAGTTGTAGAAGCCACATTCCTCAAGACATAAATAAGCTCTAATCAACTTGTAAAGATATGGACATGGTCTCTAATCAGATTTCAAATTACCCCTTAATGTATCACATTTGCCTGGAAAAATGCAATCTTTTTTTTTCCCTAAAATTCTAGGAATTTCCAAGACACTTAAAAACACAGATTGCCATCCTAAGTGTCATTTCTCTTTACATAAATCTTATGTAAGATGAATGACATCTTCTTAGAGTTGGCAATGAAAATTACAAGAGGATATATATTGTATCCACTACATTTAACTTGATAAAGTTTTACTCTAATTTCCTGCTATCTATAAACATATTGGACAGTTAATTTAATTCAGTTTCATTTATAAATGTTGGCAGTCTTTTTGCCAAGATGAAATATTTTTCTGAACCTACAAAATAATCATGAGGAAATCTAAACGCATTCTAATTCAGATTAGAATGGCAATTACGTTTCGTTGACATAGAACCTTGCTTTCGTACTAAAGTCTAAAAACAAGCTCTCTCACTCCACCATTACTGTAAAGTACTTGTACTTTCATAAACAGATTTTCTTGTTTTCTAGCTCCCAGTCTTCAGAGCTGACAGTGCTATGGTGGATGGCCCATTCTCAGCAGAAAAGCAGAAGGCATTCCCCAAACTGCCTACATCTGCTCCAAGCATTAGACTTTCCCCAGTGGCTGCATCCCCAGGACAGACTCTTGAGTTCAAGCTAAAACTAGACCTCCCGTCAGGAGCGAAGCTCACTGAAGGGGCACCCAGTTGCTGGCTCCTGTCAGCTGGAGGTATGACAGTAATCTTGCATATGTGAATAGTTCGTAAGTTCTTGATACTGAATCTTGTAATTTTTCTCATTTGTTCTGTGATACTTCATAGTTGGGCAGGATTTGAGGGAGTTCTTGTTATTAAAAAAAAAAAAAGTTCCAGATCTAACCCCACTTTAGCAGTTTTCTTTAGTCTTTGAGATTCCTTCTTTTATTAAATTAATTATAATTTCTCCCCTTTGCTACTAAGCAAATTTATCACATGAGGCAGACTGTTGTGGTCTCAGAATGATAATTCCTTGAACGTTAGAGATAAAAGGCACCAAAAGACACCATCTGTTCTAAGCCTCTTATTTTATATATGAGGAGACTAATGGCTCAAAGAGATAAAGTGATTCGCTCAAGGGCATATGTTGAATTAGGTCAAAAGATGGAATCTGAACCCACCTCTGCTGGTTCTCAGTTTAGTGTCTTCCATTATGCTCCTCCATCTCAAACTAGCTCTACGGTTATTAGCCCTAAAAATGAAATTAATTTTTGTAAAGACATAAAATTCAAAGCCACCAATTACACACTTGGATGTTACAAAAGTTTCCAGACCTTACTCTCAATTTCTGTACTTAACTCATCATGGTTTGTGGACCAGCACCAGTCCACAGCCCTTACTTCGGTGGCACCGTTCTAGAGCATTGCAGCATAAAGGGGTGAAGGAGAGGAGGGGGAACCCGCCAAGAAGATGAAGAGTGAATAAGTGAGTAGAAGCGGAACCAAGAGAGTGTAGTTTCCCGGAGCCAGGTGCTTTAAGGAGGAGAGAGTGATCAGCTGTGTCAAGTGCTATTGCTAGAGCAGGTAAGATAAGGACTAAGAATTGATCGCTGATTTAATGTTACAGTTAATTGATGTCCTCAACCAGAGCCGACCAGAGCCATTTCAGAATGATGGAGGAGGTGCCTGATTAGAGCATGTTGAAAACGGATAGGAGGGGAGGAACTGGAGGAAGCAAATTCAGACAACTCTTTGGGGAGTTTAGCTAAAAAGGAGAAATAGAGCAGTTGCTAGAAAGGGAAAACAGAGTTGAGAGAGCAGCATGTTTGCTATATTGATGGCGAAGATCAGTAGAGAAGAGAATTGCTGGGTGGTGGGGGTGGGCATCCTTTAGAACACGGGAGGGCATGGGATCTAGTGCACAAGTAAGCGGAAGGCTGGCCTTTGCCAGGAGTGTGGACATGCCACAGTAAGGCAAGAAGGCGGCCCAGCATGTGACCCAGAGGTCTAGACAGGCACCTGTGGAGGCAGGTGCTTGCGGGAGCTCTTTTCTGAGTGCTTCTGCCTTCTTAGTACGTTGGGAAGCTCGGCCATCAGTCGAGTGGTGATAGGGGAGAAGGTTTTGGAAGCCTGAAGAAAGAAGAGGGTCAGGAGGGCGGAGGGTGACTGCACGAGGGAAACCCAGTGTGACCGCTCAGCAGCATGAAGGCCGCATTTGAGGCCAGCTGTCGTGAATCAGAAGTCAGGCTGGTCCACGCGGAGGCTGCTTTTCTCCAGCCCAGGTGGGAGCAGGGGAGCAGGAAGCGAATTGACCAAGTGGCTTACTCAGCAGGTCCCCAGGGCCCTGGTTCAGTGTTGATCCTGATTACTACTGCACCTTCCATAGCTGTGAGAGGAACCTCACCAGATTCTAAAGAATTGAATTGATTTTCCCTTGCAGTATGATGCTTTTAAAAACATATTCTTGCTTTCAACTGAAGTAACTTGACAGAGGCTCTTTCCAGTTTAGTTCTTTGGTGGTTTTATTATTATCTTCCACTTTTCCAGATAGAGGCTGCCCAGTGCTATAATTTATAGAATTTTCAGTTGCTGTTCATTTTATTTCAGTAGTATCATTGAGACTTGATTTACCAGTTACTAAGCCTGAAGCTGCATTTTCTACTCTAGAGATTCCAAAGGTAGAATTTGAGCCACATTAACTTGCTTACTCCACAAAAATGGATGCCAGAGGCATTGCTTTAAAGTACGCCATTCAAGTAGAAGAATAAAACACTGTTGGAGGAGGATGTGTAATCGAATACAGATGAATTACTATGATTAGAATCCAGGCAGAGCCTTTGTCCTCACTCACTAATTTGTGATCTTTTAATCTAAGAACACTTCCTGTTTGAGTCTATTCTCAAAGTATTCAGTTACTGTAAATAACGTAAAGATTTGGATGTGTGTGTGTGAATCACAGTGTGAACTTATTTAATCAATTTGTAAGTGATAAGGATAATTGCTTGCCTTATAGCAGTGCTTTCCAGCATCTTTTAACAGAGTGGACAACCGTTTTAGAGTGAAATACTAGTAGCCCAGAACTAAATTCTGATTTCTCGTCTTCCTCTGTCTCAGTCTCCCACGCTCTTTGACACATTCTCAGTTTTCAGTTTCCTGCCCAGCTCCTCCTCCCTCACGCCTTCTCACACTTTCCTTTTGTACATTCCCCAGATCCAGGCTTTAGGCCTTCTTACCTTGGTACTTTCTCAGGGCAGCAGCTACTTTCCTGCAACTACCCACTTGGTATCCACACCAAGAGAACAGAGAGGTCTTGCTAGGCTGCCAGAAGGAGCTGCCGGGGTAGAGTTTGCTGGCTCTGGGCTGATTGAGCCTGTGGGGAAACCCCCCCCTGCTGCCCCCACAGAGGAGAGGGCTGAGCCACGCAGTGCTTGAGGATTTTGCAGCCAGCTTTGTGGACAGACGCGCGCTCAAACCCTGCCATTCGTCCCTCCGTCCTCGGTAGGTTCAGAGCAGATCCTCAACTGCCATTGGCACTGTCCCTCAGCCTGAAGGTATTACATCAGGTGGCAATCTCACTGGTCATTTCTCTGTGTGAAATTAAAGAGCAGTGTGTTGTTTTTTAAAGTAGGATATTGACATATTAACATCTCTTATTTTAACTCTATTTTGTCAAACTCAAGTTAATTAATATTGAGTAATTGGAATGTTAAAGGAAAGTGAAGTAATCTAGAGAGAAAAGTCTTAGCTGTTTTATCACTTGTCCAAGATACTGGCTCCATTTTTATTGTATAGGGACAAATGAGCTTTTGGGCAAGAATTCTAATAATTTAAGGTTTTACAAATTATTTTATAGGGTATATTCTAAACCTATGATTAAAAGACATTTTTTCATCTTGGATGGTTATTTAAAGGTAGAAACACTTAATTTTAAACTAAATTTTGGTCTCTATAATCTTAAAACTGCCAGCATATACATGAAGGAAAGAAGCAAAAAAAAAGAAAAAGGCAGTTATATAAAAGCACCACTAGCATATTACGGCTTCACAAATCCTACATGTGATGTTCCTAAGAAATATCTAAAGAAACAGTGTCTATGTCTTATTTCTAGAATTAGACATTAAAATAGCGTAATTTATTATTTTCCTGTTTTCACTGAAAATAGAAGTGCCCCCATTAATGTGCTATTTAGCAGAATCAAACATTAAAATAAAACATACTCCTTAGCCCAGAAATACGCAAAGTAGGCCAGAGAATTTTAAAAGAATTATTTAAAAGCTCTGCACTTAAACTTTAAATGCTCACCTTTCACATTCTCCTTACTCTTCTTTGATAAATTTTTCTCAAATTTAATTTTTCACTCAACAGAATATTAGAAGCAATAAACTACAGGAGGGATGGAAAGGACCAGTAGAGAGGCAGGTGCTCTAATCAGTTGGGTCATCCTGAAGTCAAAAGAAAGGGAGAAAAGCTAAAAAGTTGACATAGAATCTCATCACTACTCATTAGATGGTCCAGTTTTTGTACAGATGACCACAAGTCACTGATAAGTCATTACCGTATTACAGTATATTCTGTTTAAGATGGCAGGAAAGCGCAGCTTTGTTTCCCAAATGCTGACTCTTAATATCTAACCCCCTCGCGTGCTGAATGTTAGTGCAAGATTGTGCTTCCTCAGTATGACCTACATGTTCCTTCTGAGAGAGGAGCTGGGTGAAATTAGAGACATTTTAAAAACTTTAATGCTAGAAGGCTTGAAGGTTTTTAGTGGTTTTTAGACTTGTGTTATATAGATAATCTATGTGTTTAAGTCTCAGAAGAGTTTCATGTATTAAAATGAAGTAGATGAAATCTGTTAGTTTTTTACATTAGTCCATCAGGATAATGTATACAGTGTTGCTTTTTTCAAAAAAAAAATCTTTTCTTTTATTATTATTATTTTGGGATATTTCAATAATTCATTATCATCTTAACTTGAAAGTCACTGCAGAGTTGTACGTGCCATTTGTATTCCATAGGCTATCTTGTAGTTTGCATGTTATATTCCTGGATACTTTTATCTGGTAAAAATGATCTGTTTTCTCAAGTGTCATATTTATTTCTAGACCTCACTAATAGGTTTCATTTTTAACTCTATATCCACATTTTAAATCTATAATCATATTTGCAGTATTCATCTTGATTTCAGTAAAAATGAATTTATAATTTATTTTACAGTGTTCAAAGGAAGAATTTTGATATCAAGACGATTAGACTGGGAACTTCTTATATCTTACGTTTATGTCCTTCACACAGTAAGAGCACAGTACCTGGCACATAGAGGCTTTCAGTAAATATCTGATGATTGAATGAATCTCCTCTTCATAAGGTTTGTCTAATTTCCTACTTGTCTTCTAATACAGTCTTAATAATCTAGTTTTTTATTTTCTAGGCAACGAATGGCTTCTTCGAGGACAGATACCATCTGGAGAGATAGAGAGCATTTCCAATCAGCCAACCATCTCACTGCAGATTCCCGGAGATTGCTTATCACTTGAAGCCATTCTGTCTATCAGCGTGTTTCTGTATTACTGTAGCGCAGACAGCAGTGCCTGTATGATGAAGGGAATTTTGTTCACTCAGCCTTTACAAATAACCGACACACAGCAAGGCTGCACAGCTCTGGTAGAACTCAAGTATGTATTTTAGCAAGCTGGCTAGTGACCCAGTGCTGTCTCTTCTCCATCCCCACCATCACTGTAATTTATGAAAAGAAACTTTATTTCTGCCTCTGGAAACAAAGAAACTCATTGTTCAGTTCTAGCAACTGACATTAAAATAAAGCTATGCTCCTTATTTATTTATTATAAACAAATTCATTCATTCTGGCTGCGTACCAGCTGAGTCACTGACCATGATTTGAACCATGATTCTGTAATCTTTGCTGCTATTTGGCACAAGACTTAAGACCACATTATAGGCTAGAATACTATCATGAGATAATGTGCAGTGAATACCGGTAACAATAATGATACCAAATATTTTAACTAACCTTTTTACCTTTATTAATATCAAGCAGCACATCTGAACATATAAATTTCACAGTAATTTTAAACAGAACTTAAGATGCAGTCTGTGTGTTGGTTTAAGGACATCTGCCATTCAAGGCATTAGGTCTGTTTTAAGCCACAAAATGGTCTTTCTATCATAGTAGAAGCTTAAAGACTACCTAGGTGATAAATATATTCTTTACTCTCTTCTGTGGTTTTCTCATTTGAGATATATTTAAAACAGAATTGTAATCTATTTTTTTTATAAATTATTTACTATTTTAATATACCGTTATTAATGGTATGTTAAATATTCTGTATGTTTCTATACAGAAAAGGTTAAAGTCTCTAAGGACATACAGACTCACTCCTTTATTATTTCTAACTGAACACAGTCTTACCAGATAACAATGAGTCCACAGAAATACCATGCCTTTGAAGGAGAAAGGGACTAGGGACACATTACTGTCTGTGATACCACTTCATGATAAAGAACTGTGACAGCTGAGTTTGATATAAATGGGTATGTATGTTATCTTAGAAATGCACATTTCAGTTGAAGCAGTAAGTGCAGATTTGTGGGGTTTGTGGGTTTTTTTGGTCCCCATATTCAAAATTTAAATTATGATCATTTATTGTGATTTTTTTTAAGAAGTTACTGTTAAGCATTCAAAGTGAAAATTTCAGTGTGAAGCACTTTCATGGTATTAATGTGTATAGTATATCTTAATATATTACTTTAAAATATCAAGGCTGAAATATCCAGTGATTTGAGGACACTGTTTTTGGTAGTTTTTTTAACCTTAAAAGAAGTAGTCAGCAGGAGATAATGAAAGGTTCTTTTATTATCATAATTTCTCTTTATAACTATTTTAAAAGCCTGTGCTTATTTTTACTAAAACTGATTCAACATGTTTGTGGTTTAATCAGCTTACAAGATTTTAAAAACAACAGGTGAATCATATTTATTCAGTAAATATTTATAGACAATATAGCATAATATGCCTTCCCCCTTCAAAAACAGTGTTCCATTTGAAGGGTAATTTTTTAAGCATGACCATCTGCCCATTGCTTTATATTTTTTGGAAATATAATTTTGAACGTGCTGTTCACTTCTTTTATTCAGGTTCCAAAATCTGAAGTAAGACAGTGCATAGGTCATGGCTTCCATTTAATTTGCAGCATGCTAGCACTGTTTTTAAAGAGAAATGTAACATTAAAAATAATTCTTTTTAAAATCATATGTAAGTACCTCAAACCTTTTCTCTCCATAAAAAAAATGTTCTATAATAAAAGGATGTATAACATTAATAGTCTCTTTTATGGAGAGCAGACCAGAGTCATTTTTTAATCTCATCTGATTATTGTAGTTCTTATTTCCAGTTGGACAGGATGAGAATAGTTTGACTTGATTTTTTTCCTATTAAGGACGTAAACAGTTCTCTCAGTAAGAAGTATATACAATTCTAACTTGCTAATTCAAGAATGCCTGGTAATTATTTATTCAGTATTATACACATACATACAGTATGTATTTCCATATACATTAAAACCCAAAAATACTTCTTAGAGTCAATTAATGTTCCCTTTGTCTAGATAGAGCTTTAGGTTAGTATTATTAAGCTTATACTTTTCTTAACTTTCAAAGGATAGTTTTATTGAACATTCTTATTCTTACCCAGCCACCAGTCTGCAGTGTTTTTTACGTTCAGAATATTATTTGTATAAAGTGGTATGACTTTTTTTTGTAAATCATACTAAGCAATATAAATAGGCTCCTAGAATTTATGACTAACATAAACTTCTCACGTAAGAGGAAGCACTAGAAAGTTTATTTTTAAAAACTTGATTCCTGTCTGACTTCTGTTTTCTATAAGAACTTCTGCATTTTTTAACTTTTTAACTTTTGCTCTTCTTCATACATCAATTATTATGTCCGGTGACAGTTTAAAAAACAGTAAGATCTTGGTGTTAGTCACCGTTACCAAAGTGCCAGTAATGTGGCATTATACACCCTTAGACATAATACCTGGAACCTTTGCCCTACGTTATTCTGCTGGTTTGTCATTTTTTTCACCACTGTGTATGATATTTCACAAATGGCAGAATTTCTTTTTCTGAATTTATGCTCAGGATTGATACGATCTCTGAAAAGAACTTCGCTTATCTTGAATATGCTGTGTCAGGCAAATATTTAACCTGTTCACAAGAGAAAATTTTACAGTTTAACCACTGGTAAGTGTAACTTCGGCCAAGTTCAATGACTAAACAATTTTCTCCTTAACTATTCTAATAATATATTTAGCTATAGTGTTAATCAGGCCTGAAGAAAGCAATAAATCTTAACACAGCCCCATAATATATGCAGATGAGTGTATATATATGTGTGTATGTGTATATATACTTACACAGATACAAAGATCAACTCAATTTCTCACATGGCCAATGTGCTTCGGAGCTAGGACCACTGAAATAAGTTATCTGCTTGTTCTTCCATAGTTGAAAAATCTGAGAAGATACTAAAAATACATATCTCTGTAATATAATAATTTTCTGCTTGCCCAACATTTAGTTTTTATCTGCCAACTAAAAAGACTTCAGTCTAGCCATTATATTTGGCATCATGCTGAAGAATAATCACCAAAAACGAAATTTCATAGCTCACAAATTGCATAAAAATATATACAGAGGGTCTGTGTCAGTGGTGGACTATGAATGATAAAATTGTGAATATTTTTATTTTCTATTTTTCTGTATTTTTTTTTAAATTGAGCAGTGTGTTATTTTAAAAAAATAGGGATGTGCTTTAAAGATTTAAAATGAACTGAATAGCCAGCACTTGTTATATAATACATTTTCTGGGGTCACTTTATTACCAAAGATCAGAACACAGTGTCAGAGCTCTGATCTGCCAGTTTTCTCTTTAGTGTGTGATTTGGTGGAGACAGAAATGATTACGGCTTCTTCTGCTGGAGTTTTATTCTGTGATGTAGTGTAGTGATTATGAGCACAGATTTTGCAGTCACTTGGATTCTAACTGTATAAAATGGGGCTCCTATACCTGCCCTATGGGGTTGCTGTAAGGACTCAATGAAATGATGTTTGTATAGCAATTAGTAATTAAGAAACTGCTAGTTACTGGCTTAGTTATAATAATAATTTATGATCATAAATACATGGCTTCACATTTTCTTTTTAACTGCATTTTCTAAAAGAAACTATTTCTCTACCAACTGTTTGCTATGTTAATATTGTCCATAGAACTGGGATTCAAGAAGAGAAATACAGTTCTATAATAGACATATTACTATTTTATAAATGATGTTATAAAGAAGCATACCTACAGTTTTATTTTTTAAAAGTTGAAGACTTAGAACCATGAAATAAACTTCCTTTGAGAGGGTCCAGACATACTCACCCTAAACCACATTCCTGGAACATACTCTCACAGTGCTTTACCAAATCTTCAAAGTGCCTTCATGCATTTTGTCTCATTTGAGCTTCAGAGTAACCGTATGAGTCAGACAGGTAGATCTTATGTCCATCTTACAGATGAGGAAGCAGCGTTAGAACGCTGGCTACATACCTCAGAATCAGAGCTCCCCGGATACTGTCCGTGCTGGAGTGGTGCCTGGCAGAAGCAGTTGCTCAGCCCATTTTGTTGAATGACTAAAGGCTGGTGAGTAACAGATCTTTTATTTGAACGTAGATCTCCTAATTTCTAGCTCTATTCCTAGTTGTAGAGTGAAAACAAACTATGGGATTAAGAGTACTTACTTTTGTGAACGCTTTCTTAAGCTTTTGCAGGATTTAAATAGAGGAGTAAGAATAATAGCTAAACTTATTCAGTGCTTACTATGTGCCTGGCACTTTCCTAAGTGCTTTCTGTCTGTTAACGAACTTAATCCTCACAATCAACTTATGGGGAAGGTCCTATTTATCCATATTTCCCTGATGAGGAAACAGACACAAAGAAGTTGTAAGCAGTTACACCAGCATAATTGAGATCACGCATTTAGGAATGGCCAAGCTTGGATACGTCTGC